ATAAATAAATATTATTTTCTTTCCTCACTGCCAAGTTTCTGTCAGAAAGATACAATTAACTGAACTGACAATGCTTTTTCAGCTGCACAGAACCACCATGGACTACAAATTGGTAGAAGAAGAGGTAGCAATTCTTTCTAGCCAACTTTTTCAGGGAATGCATCCTACACTCCCCAAACAGGGCCATTTGGGTCTCACACAATGAAAATGAACAAGTATTTTTATTTCAATGGCTTTAGTGCCTAGAATAACATCTTAAGATATTAAATCAGCATAAAATATCTGTATCTTAATATGAACTATGAAAGCTAATATAAGAGTTTTAACATAAGAGAGAGATAGGCTGAAAATCTGACAAAGATAATGAATCTCGAGTCTTAAAGTCTTGAAGAAAAGTAGTCAAAGCAAGCTACGATAAAGAGAACATTAACTCCAAGTAAAATGTAATAAAGACTTGTGAATTTAGATACTTCTGATCAACACACTGTTCTCAACATCCTCAGAGGAAAATGAGGTAATAGGGATTTACAACAATGATGAGAAAATACCTTTGGGTTTTCCTGGCAAGCCACTTGAAATCTATGCCTAGCCAAGACAATCAGAAAAGTCCTGGATAGAGCATGCAACTCTATTCCATGGGCTGATTTCCCTCGTGGGGTTTCATGTCTGTCTTGGTAAACATGCATAGAAAAGAGCACTGTGGAAATCTATCTTTGAATGGAGACAGAAAAGCTGTCTTAAAGTCTGAATCCCAGGATGATGTTTCGCTTGATCCCAGTGGATACTCCCAGTTGGATGCTTCTGCCTTACAACTACATATATTATACCTTCAAGTGATTGTATTTTATCATTCTTTAAACTATAGTTTTAACATTTACAGAAAGAGTGTGTTATTTAATTACCTCACTTTGATTCCTGTCAGAACCAAGTTATTAATAAGCGTATCAGCAAATGATGCCAATGAATATTAACTCTATATTTTACTTATAAAGTTCACCTCTTAGCTCCTCCTTTAATATCTAATGCAACGTAAACTGATATGCAGAATTTCATTTTAATTTTACCGCTAATCTTCCAATCTCTATATATGGAATACTAGTCTCATATAACAACAATAGGACAAAAACATTCAGAAGAATCCTAGGCAGGACCAAGGTTGGACACTGAATATTTTAAAACACTCTTTAATGATCTCATGAAATAATTATAGTTCCTAAGATACAAAATTACAAAAAGCTTTGTAATATTTCTAGTAATGCATATGAGTATATCATTACTCGCTAAATGAGAGCTCTAGTGAAGAATATGGACAAAATCTGCTGTCATTTGATTTTCTATCTGAACATTAGAAAGTCTCATTTAGAAATCAATTCTCAGTGCCATCTGTATAAGACAATCTTAATTTGGCATAACATTATTCTATCTGTTACACACCTGCCTGTTCTCTAGACTATGAAAGAAGAATAGCAACTTTCCAACCATAACAAACATCATATCACTTTAATTAGTATACCTACTGGAATGAAGAACAAAAATCAATTCTATGCCAACCAGATTTCAGATAATTCAGAGAATAAAAGAGTTCAAAATTACTTTAGTCATTTTCAATTATTTTTTTATTAATGGCAAATGTGATTTCGCAGACAACCTTCTAGAAAAGTCATTATACCATGGAAATGGACCTAGATTACATAAACACACAGGAAGGTACAATCTCATCATGATAGTAAGATGTGAAGATGTGAGTATCTTCATCTCAGGATATCAGCTGGAGAGAGCATCAATTAATCTTTTCTTTTTTTCATGAACCTTGATTTTCAGTCTCTTATGCTTATCAATTTAAAAATATATGAAACCTGAATAAAGATGAGCAGACTGGCTCAGTCACTTAAAAATTTAATAGTTAATCTGCAACTCACTAATAATTATAAAATTGCAAATGTTTTGTATGCAACTAAACTGTGATAGCCATATTCAAATATAATTTGAAGTAAACAGTATTCAAAATCGGGAAAAATATCTACTCTGAAGGAAAAAAACCTAAAGAGTTTCCAAAATGCCAATTTCTCTGTTGTAGAAATTGGTTGCTATGCCTTTAATCATCATAAATATTTAAAATAAGGCCAATGTCTTCAGGCCTTTGGCTCAGGTCTTAAATTACCCTCTAAGTAATTAACTGCTGGAATTACTCATTTGTCAAAATTTTATATAATACTTAGAAATGAACTATTAAAAGTTAACATTTATTTTAGATTGCCACATTGGTAACAGACACATTCAGCAGTCAATTAAAATAGTTTGGGAAATGTAGTTAACATTGACTTATTTTATTGTAAGTCTATTCTAGCATTTCTAAGGAACATTCAACAAAAATAATAAAACTTTGGTAAGTGTTTTAATAGAAATTAGTACCAAATTAACTTTCAGTGCTTCAGATGTTCCTGTGAAATGGGGAGCTGCGATGCTCCAGTTTCTAGGGTCTTCTTTCTATTCTCTCACTGATACTTTTGTGATACTTGAAATTCTGCCCAAGTCACACTAAAGAACAATGTCCTCAATTCATAACTACATGACACTGACTCCTGATTTTTATATTATTTATTTTTGTGGGGGAGCATGCATGACACAACCCATGTGTAGAACTTGAGAGAGTTGGTTCTCTCCTTCCATCATGTGGGTCCCGAATACTGAACACAGATCCTCAGGATTGGCAGCAAGTGCTTTTACCTGCTGAGCCATCTCACCAGTCTAACATGGACATTTTAAAATAATAAGCAAGAATATGTGAAATTAAAACTAAGAAAATATATACATTCATTAAATTTAAGATGAATGATTAAAATGTTTCTACATCTTTTCAAGCTGCACACTGAAGAAACTTTATAATTCAAATTCACAAATCTGCAATCATTATCATTTGCTTTTCTTTTTAAAAATATTTTATTTATTTTTTAAATTTTATTTTGAGTGTATTGCTTGCATGTAGGTAGGTGCACTCATGTCATGCAATGCCCATGGAGGTCAGAAGAGGGCTACAGAGGGTGGTTATCCACCATGTGGGTGCTGAGAATTGAACCCAGGTCCTCTGCAAGAGTAGCCAGTGCTATCAACCACTGAGCCAGCAGTTGCTTTTCCAACCCATTTTTCTTCCTTTCACCATAAAAATACTGAGTATTTATTATATTTTATTTGATGATCTGTGAGGTATTTAGTCAAACACAGAACATTAGATAAAAGGACATGCTCTTTTAAAAATGTTTTTAAATTTTTATTTATTGTTATTATTGTTGTTTTTGTCTGTATGAGATGTATATATAAACGTGAGCACATGTATACCATGGCACACATGTGTATGAAGGACAGTTTTCAGGAGTAAATATTCTCCTTCTACCAAGGGATCTGAGAACCAAATGGAGGTCACTCAGTTTTACCCCATAAACCATCCTGGTGGCCCAAGACATAACTCTCCTAAAAATAATAACATCTCACCTGGTTGTTAGATATCCTTGAGTTTATGTAGAACTATCACAGTATCTTATTCAGCTCAAATGGGTCTTCTTTTAATATCTAGCATAGCATTATGAACAGCTGTTAATTTAGTAAATATTATTCTTATATTCTTCATTTTGTATTCATAGATTTAAGTAACCATAAATATCCTCACATGAATAAAATATGTTAATTCATCAAACAGAAATGCCAATGGGACATCTGTCACTGTGTCATAATAAGTCACCTTCGAGATCATGTCACCTGCAGTGTAGATCCTAAATCTAACCCTGGAGGAGTGACTTATCTCTTAGTGAACAGTGAGAACAAGTCAACATATAATTAGGTGAGTGGCCTCCAGTGGAAACAGGCTGTCAGCTTCCATGCTCTGCAATTCAGATGTCAGAACGCAAGGAAATAACAACTGCATCTGTTTTCTAGTTTCCTTAACTTCAGAGAAAGTATCACTACTATCTTCACTATGAAAACTGCAATAAACCTAAGGGACCACATACTTATAAAGTCACACCAAAGCTAATGATAGTAATTTAATGAGTTAATTTTGTGGCATATAAAAATAAACACTGAACAGAGTCAAAAAGTCCCTTAATAAATGTCTTAATTTCAGTGACTCTGATGTTTATTGTTTCATAAATGCAGGGTGACAACAGACCAATGCTCTGTGTTGCTGGCATAAGAAAAATGAAAGGGTTTAAATTTATAAAATTAGTTAATAAAAGCACAAGAAAAAAGAAATTAAGAAAAAATAGACTATAAATGCCATATTGATCCAATTATCTATTTTTAGAAATTTTTGGTCAGAGCCCACATAAGTTTCTATATTTTTTTTTCACAGGGTCTCCCTTGTCCCAGCAGGCCTGGAACTTACTATGTACAACAGGATGGCCTCCATCACACGAAGATCCACCTGCCTCTGCCTCCAGAGGACTGGGACTAAAGGCATGCACCACCACGCCCAGTGTAGGTTCTTCATTTTTAAATTATTTAACATAAATGGCCACCATAAGAACCTGCATTATTGTTACATGTGTTAAAAGCACCTATGAAAATTGAACAATAGAAAAAAAGACGTGAAAAAATATACATTGTAAGAGACAGTTTACAAAGTAAAACTATAAATGGACAGAAAATGTGAAAAGATGTTCAATGTCACTATTAGCCAACGCCAACATAGAAGACATCTCATGCTTTCTCATCAGACTTCCCTCTACTAAAAAGGGTGTTACAGAAGGATTCTGGAGTCTCCCAGTCATGGTTGACAAATATATTCCATGAAGAACAAGCAATAAAATTTATATATTTTTATACTAAAATATTTAATGTTAAAACATAATTTCTGCCAACTAAAGTAATGATTGGTTCTATTTAATAATACTTCTTTTACACCAAAATTTTTTAAAACTATTAAATAATGGTAGAAATATTAGACTTAGACTCTAAAAATTCATAGGAAGAATGAAAACACGTGGCTTAATAATCCCTTTTCCTACCTTCACATTATCTGGATGGAGTCCCCCAGGGTGCTTGTCCATGTACTGACATAAATCAGTGTGCTAGAAAAGAGAAGGGGAATGTATTAATATCCCTCTGGCTATAAAATGATGAATAGGTACTTTTCTACTTCAAAGTCATCATTTCCTTCTGAACAAAGCAAATACAAGACAAGTGGATGTATTTTTTCGTGTATGCAACAGCATGCTCCACCACATCCCATTTTTTAACCATAATTGAATCATCTTTACCTCTAGGTTTTACGTTAAACATCCCCGTAGGAAAGGAATGGGTGTTTATAATTTGTTAAGTGTCAACTTTTTCTTCATTGCACATATTCTTGTCCCTTAACAAAAATCCAATTAGAAGTTTTTCAAGTATGAATTTAAGTTCTTATTATTTATTTTATATGAGATGAAAACTCTCAAAATCTATTATGCTAGATAAATTACTAATTGTATTTATTTAAAATTTTCGTATCTATACTCACATCAATAATTTTGAGATTTCAAAAACTCCTGGTTATATTTAAGTAAATACACCTTATAATTTAACAAACATTTTCAAACTGGTAACTTAAGACATTCAGTTACACACGAGAAAAACTCTCAGATAACATGTAGTTATTTTTTAAAATATGGCAAGTTTAACATGCCAATAATAGCGCTTTTTAAAATTCATTTTTGTTTATATAATTACATATAACTTTTAAAAGGCAGGTAGAATTGTCTTACTAGAAGGCACTATAAGATTTTATAAGACAAATGTTTAATAATTCCATAAAATCGAATGAACAAGTTTCTGTGTCATTAGGCTTGAATGATTTGAGAAACACAAGTTGTATAATACACTCAAGAACCTTGCTACAGCATCATGACCACAGTTCAAATTCTGTTATTGCATTTTTACTGCATGCCAGATGGTAACTGCTGAGGATGCACAGCAGAGTTTAGCCCCATTCCTTCATTCTGACTTCTTGAGCCCATATGATGCTCTAGGCTCTGTGCTAGTCACTCAGAGTGAACAGAATGAGGCCAATAGAGACTGGGCATGGCAGTTACCACAGCAGAGGGAAGAAAGTCACTGTAACAGTACTGTGTAATGATTACTCAAGAAGCAAGGGTAATGTAATATCTACACATCCCAGAAAGGTCTCTGAAAAAAGCAGTTCTGAGAAAGACATAACAAAAAGGTAAAGACGAGAGCCATTTGATAGACACAGCTAAATAAAATGGGATAGAAGAGCTAGTAAATATATATTCTCTGATAAAACTGCCTTTCATTTGGAACTACACACAGGGTATTAAGCATGAAAGTCAACTACCATGCTGGCTCATTCTGCTTACTTTGGAAAACATAGTCTATGTGGTTCAGGAAGAGAAAAGGACATAAATGTACGTAGAAAGTGATATATATAGAAAATAAGCTCATTAAAACTCTAAAATGTAATTACAGCGAGTTCCACATGTCTTTGTCTAACTAATTATATGAAAATTATATTTCAAGCATTTAGAAACTGAGGAATTCATTTTGGACCTAAAACTGAGAGTTTATTATTCATGTCCTCATTCTTTCAAAGGTGGGTAATAGCCATCTCAGAAAGAAAGAAACAAAGTATATAAGACTGCTTGTTTTTTGAAGAACAAATAGGACTGTGTATGAGAAACTGCTTTTTTTAGATTGCTTCTTTTTTTATGTACATTTTATTGAGTTTCTGTGCATTTAATAAAATAGATCCTAATCAAATTCAAACCCCCTGATAAGATTATATATGTATATCTACATATATAGCACATGTGTATATGTATATATGGTATAATAAGATCCATGAGAGCAAGAATGATATACCCAATTGATTTAACATTTCACAAAGAGCAATCAAAATAATACACAAAAAGTATATCCATCATATAATAGTGGCTGCTATGGTTAGGATATAGTTTAAGTGTTCCTCTCCAATGAAAGATCCGTGTATGCAGTATTAAACCATTGAGATTTCAAAGAGATAGAGCCCTGTAGAAGGCCCTCAAGTGACCAAGGGTATACGACACTGGAAGGGATTAAGGTACTTCTAGTATGGCACTGAGTAAATTCTTAAGCAAGCATTTTGTTTCTTTGGTTCATTTTCTCTGAATTACAAAACAAAGAAAACTCGTGATATTCCTAAATACAAACTAAAACCAATAACAACAAACTCAGGAAGTACAAAAATAAATAAATATATTTCATATTACATGCTTATTTATATGTATGCAGATAAATAGCAACAAAAGAGTTCCATATGGCTTATAGTAATGTGGCTGATACCAAGTGTGGCATGTATCAAAATAAAATATAGCATAGCAAAATTCAAGAGACATCCACTCAACAGTTACATGCCCAACAAGAGAGCACAACACTCTAAAGCATAATTTGATCAATTAAAAAGGAGAATGAAAAATTATCAAAAGACTTTAACTCATTTCAAAAACCAATACATAGAAACGGCAAAAAAAAGCAAAATTTAAATTAGAGATATGACTAACAGAGAGAAGCAGCAGTTTTACTTTTGTGACCTGGATGTTCCTCTGACCCTGTGATGTCGAGCCATGGACCCAATTCCTTCCCACACTGTGCAAAGAAACCACTCCCCTTCCCTTTTCCAACCAATTGGTTGACCATAGCAGCTTACAGGGGAGGGGCTAAGGGTATAAAAGCTGAGAAAAACGACTACTATCCTCAGGCTTCTTGGGGTAAGTCTATAGCCCAGATCTCCGCGCCGGGCCTCCCTAAACCTCATT